TTTAGATAATTTTTTCTAAAAAATAAGAAGTGATATGTTAATACTTTGTATAATGCGTAAAATATTAAAACCCACCCGTATATTTTTATTTTACTTTTACCAATTTCAAGTTAGTTTCCATTGATTACCTTATTTGTTTTATTATTTTTGTATCATTTTAGTTACATTTCTCATTTTTTCATTTTTTATATCTATTATTTTTATTTTTTAAACTATGACTAATCTTTAAAAAAGGAAAAAGAAATGACAATGGAGGTAGAAAGTAATTTAAAAAATTTAAATGAAAAATTTAAAAAAAAATAAAAAAAATGAAAATTCATCAAAAATAATCCCAACTTTCATTTTGTTGCCTAAAATGGGCATCTCCGTTAACCCTCCGTTAAAAACTTAACGGCGACCCAAAACTGACAAATTTCAGTAAAGTTGGGATTAATTATTATGCGTCACAGTGAAAGGTGGGATTATTTTTGAAAGACCGGGTAAAGTTGGGATTATTTTGGGTAATTTTTCCTTTTTTTTTTCTTTTTTCAGCCACATAAAATTTTAATCTCCATATTACAAAAATTCATCAAAAATTACACTTTTAATGGAATTACATTTTTTACTTGTAGGTATGTTTGTAAATTTTTGGACTCATTTCATTTAATAATTGAGCTAATTAATACTTGTATTCTATTCATTGCTTCTTCTTTGATGTCTATTAGCTAACAATTTCTATTTAAATACGGAGTATTTATCAATATTGATTGAGCTAATTTAATACTTTTAATGTTATTTAAACCTTTTAAATCTATAAATCCAAGTACTCCGTATGTGGGTAATTTAATCCAAGTACTTTTTAAAACTATAAATGCTTTTAATGGAATTTAAACTTTTAAAATCTATAAAAGTATGGAGTAGTTTTTAGCTTTAAATCTATAAATCTCGTGACTTTTTACGTGATTTTATTACAAATTAGTATAAAAATAAAAAATCAAAATTAAATTGAACGTTTACTGTTCACATGGTCAAACTTCATTCACTTTCTTTTTCTATTTTTGTTAATCATTTAATAAAATAAAATAGTCATGTCATCACTAGTTTTATAGATCTTTTTAGGGCTATAAATGGATAACCGAAAATTCGATTACCGTCTGCATCTGTATCCGTTTATACGAAACATATCCGCATACGTTAAAAGCGGTCATTATCCGTATTCGATTAAGGATATCCACTCTGCATTGACATCCGTTTAAGTAACCGTTTATCCGTATATCCGATCCGTTATATATAACTATTCCTTTTTTATTATATTTTGTTTTTCTATCGACATATCAAAGTATAAGACATTTTTATATTCAAAATATATTTGTGGACACCAAAAAATATGTGTACACACATCAAAATATGTGTGTATGTGTATTGTGTATATGTTTTTACCTAATTTATCGTAGAATATTATAAATTATAAAAAATAAGAAAAAATTACTCTCTAACAAACTACAGTTGAATGAATAATATTTTGACTTTAATTTAGTTGGAAATTGAAGTATTTTTCAATTGAACTTTAAAAATTGGAAACAGATACAGATATATCCGATATCCGATATCCGACGGATGCGGATACAGTTTTGATTTTTAGTATCCGTCAAGATCCGTATCCGAATTCGATATCCGATAAAAATAAACGGATACGGATCTGGTAATGGCACATCCGATCCGATTAATATCAGTTTACACTCCTAGACCTTTTGACATAATACTTTAACATGTAATTTTTATTTTTTAATTCATTTTGGTTTCCATGGCATTGAGATTCAATATCATAGAATGACCCAAGATTCATACGATGCTCCGTTATAAAATTGAAGGTTCCTACACCCCCTAACCCCCCGGTAAACCCACACTCCCGTCAATTGCATGCCACACACAAGATTTAGTTGCATGCAAAATGATGGGGGTGCGGGGTATGTTCAAGTCGAGCCGGGGGGGGAGGAGGGTAGGAACCATCAATTTTTCGAATGGAGCATCGTAGATGCCCTAATCAGAGCCCATGTCATATGATGATATGAGGGGTTCATGTCACCCGAACTGCTCCCTTTTTAATTATATACCATTTTTCGTATAAAATGATTTGAAAAATATTTCAGTCAAATATTGTAAACTGAGACAAGCAATATAAATTGAGGCAGAGGGAGTACAAAACAAGAGTGACATGAATTATTTTATCAAAAGGTCAATGAAAACATGAAAATAAATAAAAATTAACAAGAGACTAATAGTAAAAAGATAAATCATTATGAGACAAAAGAAGTAAATAAGAGTGATTTTTCTTTTTTCTATTGATTGCACTCGCTATCTAATTTCTATCGGACAAAAATTTAAAACGTATTGTACTTCTTTTTCTCATATTTTTTTATTGATTTCTTACTATCTTCAAGATACTACATTGACCATATATGTTTCTATTTATATATATAAATATATTATAAAAATATGATACATTAAAACTATTTTCACTATTTATTTATTAATATGAAATTTGAAATTATAACTCAATATGTATTATACGGAGTATCAAAGTTTAAAAAGTGGGAGTATGTTAGTGTAGTGGCAAGAAGCCACCCGAAAGTCTCTCCATATCTTGTGTTCGAGCCCCACCACTTCGCTAGAAAAGGTTGAGATTTAAAAAATACTCTTTACGTCCATAAATAAAGTTCTCGCTCACTATTCACAGGGTCAAATTTTATTTACTTTGTTAGTTTATTTTTGTGTCTTATTTGATAAAATAATATAGTCATGTCACCTTTAATTTTGTAAATCTTTATATGTAATTTTTAATTTTTAATTTTACAACATTTTTTATATAAAATAATTTAAAAATACTTTAGTCAAATACCGTTACGCGTAATCAGAATTTTATTTATGGACGGAGAGTATAAATAAATAGGTTTGGGAGCTATTCAAAAAAACTTACTCCCTCCATCCCTCATAGATCTTCCCATTTCCCCTTTTTATTTGTCCGCCATAGATCTTCTTGTTGACCCTTGTGTTTTGATAATGACAACTATCTCATGGGTTTGGCACTTTGGATGTTGATCTTCACAATTATGCGTTGGATCTCAAGACAAGTGTGAAGATATAGTGTTTTTATTTTTTCGTTTAGGTCTTAACATTTTTGTTAAAGTGTATGGCATGTTAGTTGTTCTTCCCTCCTTGAAAATGTTTTCCAAAACCCTTCAAATTGTTTTTGAGTCAATTGCAAAATAACATTTTCAAAACTGTGAGAACTATTCGGATAACTATTGTTTTACTCGAATAAGTCAGAGTTCTCAGTTCTGTCTTATTCGGATAATTAACAGTTTATTCGAATAAGTCCTGAATCTCATTTCTTCAAACCTACAGTGATTTAGTCGCATAAATCTTTATTTAGTCGAATAAGTCTGCGTTTTTCGCCCTTTCCTATTCGGATAAATATGATTTTATTCGAATAAGTCATCAGTTTGAACTGCAGATTTGTCAGTTTTTAAAGGAGTTATCCATCCCTATCTTCCACAACTCACTTACAACGGCTCTTTTGCTTGAAGAACATTATTTATATCCATTCAAACATGTTCTTCTAATAATCCAAGCATTTCAATTCATACTTTTGATCCTTCAACAATAATTCCAAGCAATTCTTCAAGAAATCAATATTTGCTTGAGTTTTGGAGAGTACTAGTGTGTCATACTCTATAAGTTTTTGTATTCTACAACAATCCACTCTTAATTTGAAGAGTATTTCCTCTGTGCACTTTGTTTTTGGAACGGTGTGTGAATTGTAAAAACTTGAAGTTGTTATAATTCAAGTTTTGGAGAGAAATCCTAAGTCTTGTGAAATCAAGACTTCAGTGGAAAGGTTAGAGGCTTGCGAATTCAAGTTCTCGAGTTGTAATCGGATTGTCAAACTCCGTTAAGTTTGACGAAGTTAGTGGAATCTCGGGCACGTTTGCTTCGAGGACTGGATGTAGGCATTAGGCCAAACCAGGATACATCGTGTGTTGCTTCTTCTCTTCATTTTTGTGTTCTTGTGGTTGATATACTCCTGCGAATTTTTAGTTCTTCCAAAAGTTTTGATTTTTGAAGAACACCTCTATTCACCCTCCCTCTAGAGGTGTGTGAGTTGTTAACACTTCTCGTTACACATTTTAACACACAAAATACCCTAAATACCCCTCTTCTATTTCTCTTTCTTTTTTCTCTCCATCTTTCGTCCGCCACTAGTTTTTTCTTTCTTTCTTCGTTTCTTTCTCCCCCGGCCCCCCATTCTTCTACGCTGCCAGATTTCTTCCTCTCTCCCTTTCTTCTTCTTTTCTTCTTTTCTTTGTTTTTCTTCTTTTTCTCCTTTCTTCTCTTTCATCTTCTTCTCCTCCGTATTCTTCTTCACCATCTAGATCTGCGATGGTGGGGTGAGGGCAGTGGCGGCGATTGCAGGGCTGAGGACGGCGGTGGCAATGGGGGAATGAAGATGGCGGCGACGATGGTGGGGATGAAGGCGGCGGTGGTGAGTCTAGATCTATATTTCTTCTCTTCTTCTCTCCCCCCTTCTTTTTCCTCCATTTATGTTCTAGATCTAGACTATGATCACGGCGATGGTGAGACCGGAGGCGGTGGTGGGATTGACGATGATTGTGAGGACCAGGGTGATGGTGGCGGACTGGCGGTGGCGGTGATAGTGGGGGCAGTGGTAGTAGCAACGGCGGTGGTGGGAGAGGTTATGTGCGGTGGTTAACTGGTAACAAAGCAGTAACAGATCGGGTGAAGTGGCAGAGCAAGTAGGGGCATAATGGGAAAGTCAAAAGTCTTTTTAACACTCCTAAAAAACCGTGAAAAGTCAAATTGGGAACGAAGGAGTGGAAGGAGGGAGTAAAATTTTGATCGTCTTTCCTAAGTATCCAACATTCCAAACCTACTTTCCAAAACGCGTGGATTCGACCGCCTCCCAGCTCCTATAAATACCCACTGCCCTTCCCCTACGTCCCTACCAGGCTGCAACGCTTTCTTCTATTTGTCTGTTCTGTGGTGCTTATATTCTCGTCGGCCGGCAGCCGTAAAACATTAGCACCGGTCATCGGATCTTAAGGCTTTCCGTTTCCCGTTGATTGATTTTATTGAAGTTTTGCGTTTATTAGAATCGATCGGTTGGAAAGATATTCGTTTTCTACAACTTTTAATTAATTGTTTTCCCGTCTCTGATCCAGGATATTGCTCAGATCATATATGCAAACCGTTAGCGCGATCGTATATTGATTACTGCTTCTGTTCTCGGCGATTGGTTTTATTGAAGATTTGCCTTTATCGCGATCGATCCTATAAATTTCTTCTTCCCAAAATTTTATTTTATTGATACTACTACTTTTTTTCTCTCGTCCTTGATCGACGATGTAGGGCAAATCATAGACGGAGGTGGTTGGCGGGCTCTTGTTTTCCTGATTTTCTGCTTTTAATTCTATTTATTTTTCCAGGCAATTGATTTAATTGATGATTCGCCTTTATCTGATTCCTACTGTTGATGATTTGTTTTCCTGTCTTGCCTCTATGATGTTGCTATGATTTCATACATATCAAGAGTGGGATCGGAGTGGGTGAACAAGATGGACAGGTTTGATTACCACTTCACTAGGTTTCTGCTTCCCGGTTTGATTATTGAAGTTTTGTCTTTTTGGTGATCGATCAATTGGATTATCTATTTTTTGGAAATTAATTGTGTTCACGTCTTAACTGGATGATGTGGGAGTTCACCTCTGATGTTTTTATTTCTTTGGTCCATCACATCTATTCTCGGTTTGCTCTTTTGGAAATTGTTTATTTGTCTTGGTGAGTTGGTCTGTTGTTGGAGATCTCTACCCTGCTGTTGATCTCATGCAGGTCAGATGATACACTTGCTCTCACCTGCAATAATTTAGTATGAGTTCCTTTCTTATTTACAGTGAAGCATGGACATTCATTGCTTTGGTAATATAGATATGCTATTGTTTTAGTAATATTGATATTCTAAATTATATTTTAAAATCTGAAGGATAATATTTGATTAGATAGTTTAAGGTAAGTGCTGCTAAAATTTTGTGATTTAATAGTTATAAATTACTACAAAGTAGTATTTTTTTTTTATATTTTTTGATTTAATAGTCTCAACTTTTAAATATTTCTAGTATTTATATTAAATTTCTTTTAAACTACTCCGTAGTAAATCTCTGCATCCGTGGAAGGGACATTGGTTGTCAAACAAATACCCTACCCCTAAAAAGAACGTGTTCATCTTATCAATTGATTGATTATTTGCGTTTTGATCTAGTCTAGACAACACAATCTCAGCTGCAATTTTTTGGATTTTTCTTGATGAACAATAAAGACTCTTTTGGTTACTATGTGTCCAACCATCTCATATGGCATTTCCTGGTATCTGAAGATGGTCGTTTCCAAAACTTTTTATTTCTACCTTGACTTGTTGGTGCAGTTCTGAGTTCAGATGAATGATTTGTCTCTAGCCTTTTCATTTTTAACTAGTTGAAAATTTAGTTTATAAGTCTCAAATTTTCATATGCCTCATTTTGTTTTGACAAAATAAGCAGAATATTTTTGTTCTTCATTATTTTATGCTTGTGTGTTCCACATCACTATTCACATGTTCTTTTCTTAAGTACTTTTATTAATCACTTGATAAAATAAAATGAAGTTGTCTTCACTTTTCTTTTGTAGATTAACTATTGATGTGATTTTTATTAATATAAATTTTATTCTTTAATATTGTACTATTTTAATTTTTTTACATCAGAAACAGCCGAATCTGGTACGGAGGGAGTATGATATAATGGATTACCTAAGTCAAATCATATATTAACATCTATGGTTATTGGTTAGTTTCATCTTGACCGACTCAGAATCTATAATTCTATAAATACCACAAGGATATAGAATGTGTTATCTTGATCATATTCCTGGATCATATATACTTATGTTTTGATGAGTAGTAAGGGCACAAATCATTGGTTTGAATTTGCTTGCAATATTTTGGATTCATCTGGCTGAGCAGGTCTGGGTGTTGTTTATCCAGTTATTGGACTTAATGTCAGTCATGTAAACAATTTTGTGAATTTGGGTGGTCGAATAAGGATGGCTTGGCTTGATTTCAAGGTGCCCATTATATTTCTGGAACTTCCCCATTGTGATGATTTTGGTACTAGAAATGGATTTGACAAGAACTATGCACATTTTGTGATGTGTTCGCTTCTTCTTGACCACCTCTCATAATCTAATATATACCACTGCCATCGTAATCCTGAAGTTCCTGATAGAATTATAGAAGACCCATATAACCTTAGCTCTGATGACTTCTAGAAGATTTGACTTGAATTGTGAGATTGCAATAGCCCAAGAAATAGATGCCAGAAGTAGACTTGTTGAAAATGCTATGATTTTGAGCCTCAACAGTACCTGTGATGCTGGGGATTTGATTTATTGAAAATGCATTGAATCCTTGTCAAATTTTATGTCCCGAGAAGGCTTATGGAGGTTATGAAGCTCTGTTTCCAAGACATCCCCTTTGACCTGGGAGGTAGAAGGCTATCAAGAGTTGGTGTTCTCACTCCTGACACTCCGTACGAACAGAATAGTAGCAATCTGATTCTCCTCATGCAAAATGTTTGGAAATCGAACCACGCTTAGCTATTTTTATTGTCCAGTTGCCAAACCTTCTCTAAATGGCCTCTGTTGAACAATATATCAGATCCAAGGTTTTTTTCTTGGTAAGATTTTTGTGGGTATGTTGTTTGGGCTGGAACTTGCAGCTCTCTTGATTTGTTGATCTAATCTGAGATAGGCGATTCGGTGTCACGTACAAGGTCCCTGGCCTCACTTGGTTTGTTGGTGCAGATAAGTCCTTACTGCAAGGTTTTTTATGACGAATTAAGATGAAGGATTCTGTTCCTTATTTATTGCTCGCGTTCAACATCACTAATCACATGTATGAACCAAATCATATATGAATGTCTATCACTCTATGCTTAGTTTCTTCTTGATTGACTCTCATAATCTATATATACCACAATGATTTATAATCAAGATAGAATATGTTATAGGTTATGTTATCTTGTTCATCATCTTGGATCATATTTGCCTAGATTCTGATGAGTAATAGATGTGGGCCAGATCATTGCTTTGACTTCACTTGCAATATTTTGGATTCATCTAGCGAGCAGGGTGATGTATTGTTTATCCTGTTATTGGACTTGATGTCATTCATGCCAACAATGTTGTGAATTTGGGTGGTTGAATGAGACTGCTTGGTTTGATTTCAGAACGTCCATTGCTTATATTTCAGGAAGTTCTGCACTATGGTTATTTTGTTAGTGGAAATTGATTTGACAAGAACCATGCACAGTTTCTGATATATTCGCTTCTTGGCCACCTTTCATTATCTATAAATACCACTGCCATCGTAGTTGTGATAGAATATTGTTGTCATTAGTTGCTAATTTTCTTATAAAACAGCCTTGATGACTTGTAGAAGTGGTGGAGATCATATATTTGACTTCTATTGTGAGATTGCAATAGTCATGGAATTAGATGCTGGAAGTGAACTTATTGAAAATGCTCTTACTTTTATTCTCAAATAGAAGATCTGATGCTGGAAGTTGATTTATTGAAACTGCACTAAAACATTGTCATGTTTTGTGCCCAAAGAACAAGTGAACTACAGCAAAGACACAGATGATTTTTTTGTCAGCAACAGAAGCAAGGGGGATTAGAAGAGCCGTTATTAAACCATTATAAAGTTGATGATTTCCACCAAGTTATGGAGTTCTCTTTCCAAGACATTCCGTTTGACCAGCAAGGTAGAAGGTAATCATGAGTTAGTGTTCTCACACCGCACAAACAGCAGAGTAGTAATCTAACACTCTTCATGCAATAGAAGGTAATCATGAGTTAGTGTTCTCACACTGCACAAACAGAATAGTAGTAATCTAACGCTCTTCATGCAAAATGTTTGAAAATCTCACCACATGTAGCTATTGTAGCTCTCAATTTCCTGATGTTAACTCAGACACGTGACACGATTTCAAGTATAAGGTTCTCGACAAGTACAAGGTCCTCGGTTTCATCTGGATTTTATATTTCTTGCTGATGAATATAGATGAGGTTGATCTATTTTTCTGCCTTGGTTATTGATCTAGGTGAGTCCTTAATGCAATGTTTATCTTTTCAACAAATTTAAGATCCAATTGATAATTTTGCAGTTCTAAAAAACTGGTTCCAACTAATTTGTTGTGACAAAATACGGTGAAGATTTTTTCTTCATTATCTATTGCATGTGTTCACAACATTCACATGTTTGGTGAAGATTTTAGTCACTTCTACCTTTTCTTTTCTTTTGTAGAAAACTATTGATTTGGTTTTTAAATACAAAGTAATGAAAATATAGAACTTTTATTTTTTAAATTTTTTTCCAATTTTTGAATTGTTTACAAGATCTGGACCTTATTCTTGTAAGGAGGCAGTATGATATAATGGATTTTACCAGAACCAAATCATTTATGGACATCTATGGTTAGTTTGATCTTATCATACTCTCAAAATCTATAAATACCTCAATGATTTCTTATCCAGATAGAACAGGCTATACAGTATGTTATCAAAATAGAATTTGTTTTCTTGATCAGATTCTTGGGTCAATAATGATTAGGTTGTGATGAGTAATAGATGCGGAAATGATCCTTTGTTTGATTTTGCTTCCAATATTTGGATTCATCCGGCTTGCAAGTTGATCCTGATGTGTTCTTTATCCTGTCATCATGTCAAACAATTTTGTGAATTTGGGTAGATGAATGAGGTGGTTTGGTTTGATTTCAAGGTATCCATTGCATATATTTCAGGAAGTTCTTATGTTGTTAGTGGAAATGATTTGACAAGAACTAGGTACAAAGTTTGTTGTGTTAGCTTCACCTTGACCTCCTCATAATCTATAGATAACAGGACTGTCATAATCCGGATAGGATTATTTATCATGACCAGTTGCCAAGTTCCATATTTTCTGATGTTCTATAGAAGTGGCGCAGATCATAGATTTGACTTCAATTGTGAAATTTCATTAGTCAATGAAGGAGATGCTGGAATTGGAATGTTGACAATGCTTGATTTTGAGTCAAAAACATTAAATGTGACGTTGGAAGTATATTTATTGAAAGCACACAGAAATCTTGTCAAGTTTTATGCCCAAAGAACAGGTGAACTACAGCCAAAACATAGACCATCTTTTTGTCAGCAATAGAAGCAAGGGGGATTAGTTTCACTGTTGAGAAAGTAACATGCAGATGAACATGAATACGTTGGTCATGGAGATATATTTCCAAGTTACTCCTTTCGACTAGTGAGGTAGAAGGCAATCATGAACTAGTGGTCTCTCTGCACGAATGTAATAGTAGTTATCTAATGCTCTTCCCGCAAAATATTTGAAAATCCAACATTTAGCTTTTGTAATTGTCCAAATGCTAAAGCGTCTCTAAATGACTTCTGTTACACTATATCAGATCCATGATTTTGGTTTTTCCCTGAAATGAAATTTTGTCGATGTGGGGGTTTGGTTACTGGAATAGTGGAACATGTAGAGTTGTGGCTCTCAATTTGTTGACGTAAGTTCAAACAGGGGATTCGATGGAAAGTACAAGGTCATTTCATCTGGATTTTGTATTTCTTGCTGATGAACATAGATAAGATTGATCTATTTTTCTGCCTTGGTTCGTTGTTCCAGCTGAGTTTTTACTGCAAGGTTTTTTTTATTTCAACAGATAAAAGATCCATTTGATAATTGTCTAGTCCTTGAAGCAGGTACCAATTAATTTGTTGATACAATAAGGTGAACAATTTTTTTAATTCATTATATATTGCTTGTGTGTTCCACATCACTCTTCACATGTTTAGATCATATCTTCTTTCCTGAAATGTTATCATTTGTAATTTTCCAAAATAACCTAAGATATTATAGTCAGTATAGTCACATCTTCTATTTATTTTCTTTCCTTTTCTAGAGGACTATTAATGAAATTTTTAAATAATATAAATTTTATTTGAAGGTCGTACTTATTTTTAATTTTTTTTACATAGTAAACAGCTGAACCTAGACCTTATTCCAGTTCTGAGGGAGCATAATATAATGAATTTTAGCAGAACCATATCATATATGAATATCAATGGTTAGTTTCGTCTCGACCGACTCTCATAGTCCGTATATGTTTTAGGGTTTTGATGAGTAATAGATCATTTGTTTGACTTTGCTTGCAATATTTTGGATTCATCTGGCTGGGCAAACTGAACCTGATGTGATGTTTATCCTATTATTGGACTTGATGTCAGTTATGTTAACTATACTATTTTTGTGAGTTTGGGTGATCGAATGAGGTGGCTTAGTTTGATTTCGATGTGTTAGCATCTACTTGACCACCTCGTATAGTCTATAAATACCACAACCATCAACCATCCTCACCTAGATTTGACTTTGATTGTGAGATTTCAATAGTCAAGGAGGAAGTGGTGTTATTGAAAATACTCTTGTATTGAGTTTCAAACATTTTATGTGATATTTGAAGTAGATGTATTGAAAATGCATGGAAACCTTGTCAAGTTTTATGCTCAATGAACTGTTAATTACAGCAAAGACATAGAGACATCTTTTTTGTCAACAACAGAAGGGGGCGTGGCTTCACTGTAGAGAAAGATACATCCAGATCAACATGCATATGGAGGTTATGGAGTTTGACACTCCCTTTGTCCAGCGAGGTAGATAGGTGATTCAGTGTCAAGTACAAGGTCCCCATCCTCACCTGGATTTCATATTTCTTGCTGACGAATATAAATCAGGTTGATCAATTTTCTGCCTTGGTTTATTGGTGTGGCCGAGTCCTTCAAGGTTTTTCATTACAACAGATTTAAGATCCAACCGATGAGCGTCTAGTTCTGAAAACCGGTACCAGTTCATTGGTCATTTGGTATTTTCAAGTACTCCGTAATAGTCTAGTCACCTTCTCTTTTTCTTTTCTTTGCAAAAAACTTCTGATTTAGTTTTTAAATACCAGTACATAAATTTTATTTTATAATTTAATTCTTATTTTTAATTATTTTTATTATTTTTATTTTGCATCAGAAAGAGCTAAATCTAGACCTTATTTTGGTACAGAGGGAGTATGATATAATGGATTTTACAAGAACCATATCATATATAGAACATCTATGGTTAGTTTCATCTTGATTGACTCTCATAATCTATAAAAAAAATAAATACTAAAACGATTTATAGTCAAGATGTATGGTTTTCAGCATAGATTATGTTATCTTGATCAAATTCTTGGATCATAATAATAATATATGATTAGGTTCTGATGAGTAATAGATGTGGAACAGAACATTTCGTTGACTTTGCTTGCATGATTTTGGATTCATCTGGCTGTGCAAGTTGGTTTGATTTCAAGGTGTCCATTGCTTATATATCAGGAAGTTCTGCACTGTGATTATGCCACCTCTTATTTTCCATAAATACCACAACCGTCATAATCCTGATAGACTTATTTTACCCTGATCAGTTGTTATATTTCCTGTCAAAACCTAGTCAAGGAAGGAGTTGCTAGAAGTGGATTTATTGGAAGTGCTCTGATTTTGAGATTCAAACATCATATGTGATGCTACAAGTAGATTTATTGAAAGTGCCTCGAAACCTTTGCAAGTTTTATGCCCAAAAAACAGGTGAACTACAGTGAAGAGCTGAAGATATAGAGATGTCTCTTTTGTGAGCAACAGAAGCAACGGGGATTAGCTTCATTGTAGAAAAGATACATCCAGATCAACTAGCATATTGTGGTTATGAGGCATTCATTCCAAGCTTTGACAAGAGAGGTAGAACGTAATCATGAACTAGTGTTCTCACCCCTTACAGACGGAATAGTAGTATTCTGATCCTCTTCATACAAAATGTTTGAAATTCCCACCACGTCTTGCTACTTCACTTGTCCAAATGCCTATGCTTCTTCTGTTTAACAAGATATTAGATCCAAGATTTTGTGGCTATGTTGTTTTGTTGTTGTAACTTGTCGTTCTAGATTGGTTAACCTCAGGTAGGGGATTAGTTGACAAGTACAAGGTCCTCGGCCTCATCTGGATTTTAATATTTATTGCTGACTTGCGTAAGATCTCTCATTTGAACATGTAGACATCATTTTTTATGGCATGAGTGTTATTTACTGCTCATCTCTTGGCTCTATGATAGACAATGGATCTGTTTCGTTCGCTTCATCGTCATTTCCTCATCATTCATCATCATACTAGTGATTTTTCAGTTTTATCCTCAGACGTTCGGTCTAAGTTATCTTGCAACTCATTCAGCTTGTGTTGCTCATTCAGGATGAGCAATGGCTACCACTGTGAATGAATTCAGGTTTGTTTATCCAAAATTTCATTTCCTGGCAAGTGCTATTTTCTTGTGTCTGAGGGTACACTGATGGGTATTCATTATTAGGCAGCTGACTTTTATGTGTGTTTTAGATAATATAGTTTTTGCATTTTCCAATTAGGGGCCTTGGGTTGCTCTCTTATGATAAAGAGATATTGACTCATTTGAGAAGAATCTCTTTTGTTCCTCTCATGCTTCTGCTCTATTGACTTCAGACAGGTTTTATGTCTTTCTAAAGTACTTGAATCGTTTCAGAGTGTTCATGGATTATTGATGTGATGCCCACTAAGAAAGGGCTTGAAGCTTGGGATCATAATGTTTACTAGACACTGTTTTTTAATAGAATTATTTGGATCTTGGCTTATGCGGTTCAGATTTCATACTTTGTTCTATCACAGAGTTATTGAATTCATCCTTTAATGCTGACTGCCCAGGCTTGTTCGGATTTTGTGATCAGGTTCTGAAAATATGTGTTTCCAACTACAAGGTCATTGTCTTCTAGCTTTCTGAGAGATCACAAAGTTTGCCCTATTCAGGGTAGCAGTAAGATTGAAGCTCACAAGTTCGTGTTGTTCATTTTGGATAGAAATTCTATTTTCACCTGTACGAGAATGTCTATTTCACACCTTTGTGTATCCATTGCTTATATATATCAGGAAGTTCAGCGCTGTGACTATGTTGTTAGTGGAACTGGATTTTTGACAAGAACTATGTACAAATTTTGTTGTGTTAGCTTCTTCTTGAACTCCTCTCATAATCTATATATACCACGACTGTTATAATCCTGATAGAATTATTTCATCATGACCTGTTGCTAAGTTTCCTATCAAACGTACGTTTGACTTCAGTTGTGAGATTTCAATAGTCGATGAAGGAGATGCTGGAAGTTGAGTTATTGAAAATGCTTGATGTGATGTTGGAAGTGGATTTATTGAAAACACACAGAAACATAGAGATGTCTATTTTGTCAGCAACAGAAGCAAGGGGAATTAGTTTCATTGTCAAGAAAGATACATCCAGATCAACTGGAATATGGAGGTAGAAGGTAATCACAAACTAGTGTTATCACTCTGTACAAACATAATAGTAGAATCTAATAAACGTATGAAAATCCCATGTCTAGCTATTGTATCTGTGCAGTCGTATATCAGATCCAAGATTTTTTTCCCTGGTAAGAAATTTTGGGTATGTTGTTTGGTTGCTTTCAATTTGTGGGTTTACGCTAAGACACCTAATTAGGTTGATCTATTTTCTACCTTGGTTTACTGGTGTGGACGAGTCCTTACTGCAAGGTTTTTCATTACAACAGATTTAAGATACAATTGATAAGGGTCCAGTTCTTAAAACCGGTACCAGTTCATTGGTCATTTGGTAATATTAAGTACTCCGCAATAGTCTAGTCACCTCTTGTTTTTCTTTTCTTTGTAGCAGACTATTGATTTAGTTTCTAAATGCTATTGCATAATTTTCTTTATAATTATTCTGTTTTTTTTGGCATTGGAAAGAGCTAAACCTGGACCTCATCCTCGTATTAGAGTATGATCGAAATGGATTTTCCAAGAACCATATCATATATAGAACATCTATGGTTAGTTTCATCTTGATTAACTCTCATATTCTTCATCTTGATCAAATTCTTGGTACATATTAATAATATATGATTAGGTTCTGATGAGTAGTAGATGTTTAACAGAACATTTGGTTGACTTTGCTTGCATGATTTTGGATTTATCTGGCTGCACAAGTTGGTTTGATTTTAAGGTGGGGTTCACCTCTTACAATCTATATATACCACGACTGCCACAATCCTGATAGAATTATTTCACCCCAATCAGTTGCTATGTTTCCTATCAAAACCTAGTCAAGGAAGGAGAAGCTAGAAGTGGAGTTATTGAAAATACTCTGATTTTGAGATTCAAGCATTAGGTGTGATGCTACATGTAGATCTATTGGAAATATCTGGAAACCTTTGCAATTTTTTTGCCCAAAAAATAGGTGGACTACAACGAAGAGTTGAAGACATAGAGATGTCTGTTTTGTCAGCAACAGAAGCAAAGTGGATTAGTTTCATTGTCAAGAAAGATACATCAACTGGCATATGGAGGTCATGGGGCTTTTCTTTCAATGATTTGACAAGCAAGGTATAAGGTAATCGTGAATTAGTGCTCTCACCTCTTACAGACAGAATAGTAGTAATTTGATGCTCTTCATACAAATGTTTGAAATTCCCACCACGGAATAATAGTACTTGTCCAAATGCCAATGCTTCTTTCGACACCTTTTGTTTAACAAGATATCAGATTCGAGATTTTCTGGCTATGTTGTTCAGTTGCTGTAACTTGTCATTCTAGATTTGTTGATGTAACCGCTGGCAGGGTGACAAGTACAACATCCTTGGCCTCATCTGGATTTTATATTTATTGATGAAGAATAAAGATAAGTCTGATCTGTATCAATTGCTTACTTGCGTAAGATCTCCCATTCAAACATCTAAACAACATTTTTTTTGTGGTGGGAGTGCTATTCGTTGCTCATCTCATGGATCTATGAGATACAATGGATCTGTTACGTTCGCTTCATCGTCATTGCCTCATCATTCATCATACTAGTGATTTTCAGTTTTATCCTGAGACGTCCATTGTAACTTCTCTTGCAACTAATTCGGCTTGTGTTGCTCATTCAGGATGAGCAATGCGTACCAGTGTGAATGAGTTCAGGTCTGTTTATCCAAAATTTCATTTCCTGGCAAGTTCTATTTTCTTGTGTCCGAGGATACATTGATGGGTACTCATTTTTAGGCTCAGCTGATTTTTATGTGTGGTTTATATGATGTAGTTTTTGAATTTTCCAATTAGGGTTGCTCTCTGTTGACTTCAGACAGGTTTTATGAAGTACTTAAATCACTTCAGAGTCTTCAGTTCATCCGTGCCCTTCTCAAGAATCTCGCATTTATCTTGATTGGCTTTGTGTGGTAGGTGTCAAGTCTGTCATTTGATTTTGATATATACCTTGGTCTACATTGATTATTGATCTGATGCCACCAAGAAAGGGCTTGAAGTTTGGCTTATACGGTTCAGATTTTGGATTTTGTTCCATCATAGAGTTGTTGGATTCATCCTTTAATGTTTTTGTGTTCCGGTTCCGAAAAACTGTGTTTCCAACTACAAGGTCATTGTCTTCTGAGTTGCCTGTTTGATTAAGATGATGGATTTACGTGTTGCCCAAGTTGGTTTTCAGTCAGAATGTCTGTTCCACACCAGTGTGTAGTTGCTGTTAGGGGCTATTTCCCACCATCGTCTATTTCACCGTGGCAGTTGGGGAGTTACAATGTGGTGAATTCTTTACTTTATTATTTTATTTTATTCATCTTTGGATTTCAATTTTATTGTGCATTAATGTTCAGAAATGAGTATGTGATGTGCAAAAAAAAAAACTTATGATTTTGGTTTTAGTTCTCCCTTTGTATAGCATTTTTTAAACATGTTTTGCACATCACGACTTTGGTTTTAGCATTATTTATAGTTCTCTCTTTGATCTGCAAAATTAGTTCTCTCATTGGTTTTAGCATTATTTTAAAAATGTTATTGTGTAGTTTTATTATGCTTTTTAACTCCGCCTGTGAGAGCAGCCGGTCCCCAGCCCGGATAAAGGAGGAGGGAAAAGCTTCAAAATACATTGTATAACAACCAAAAAATATTGCAGTGGGTTGTTGGATTTGTAATGGCAGTAGTGCTATATGATAAAGAATTCATTGTTTAGGCAAGACAAGTGTATGGAGCTAAGTGTGTGCTAGTACTTTTTTATAATTGATTGAAAGTTTATGGAATGTTTACTAGTATTAAATTATGATGGAATTATTCAGTTTAGTTTAAAAAAAGATACAGAAAAGAAATATATTATTAAAAAAAAGTTTTCACAAAGTCTTAGTATACTTTGGTTTAAAGCGATTCGGTTCGATTTTCCAACCCCAAAATCAAAATCAAAACCAAACCAAAAGAGTTTGATTTGTTTTTTTTGTATTCGATTTCCATATTTTTGGTTCGGTTTATTTTTTGGAAAAATTTGATCAATTTTGATTCAATTTTCAAATTTTTCTACCCGTCCTTAATCTCAGCTAATGTTTATAAAATTTTATTTTCACAAATTAAATGTAAAGAGATTTTTTTTGGAGAATTAATACTCTGTACATTACTTTGCTATTATAATCATTAATCAATGATGTTTTTATTAACGTAGGTGGGTTTTTATGATAGAACCAAGGGAAACAATTAATTTGTTTTTTTGCACATTCAAAAATATTCATTTGATATCACTAATTTGTAAATTTATGAGAAATAATACTATCATTGTCTCAGATAAACCTACATATTTTTACTTTTTTTTGTAAAAATTATGATAACTTTTTGACCTTAAATTATAAAAACAATATTTAATTATAATTTGAATTTAATATGATTGAGTTCTTTTTTTGATATAGTTTTCATATATCAAATGTTTATAACATTTATTTATTTGAACTATATTTAATTTGTAGTGAAAAATATCAAAATTTGACAAAAAATTAAAATAGAAAATTAACCTGAGATGAAAGGAGTATGAGATACTATATTCTCTTTACTCATAACATAAACACACACGCGCGCACACACATGCACACACACATATTTCGACTCCAGTCACATGACATACTACGGTTAGATGACATTAGAGCTCACCACTGATTACTGCAATGCTCACCAAAGACTATTGCAAAACTCATCAAAATACAAGGAAAAGCTCTCCCTGAAAGGTCCAATCACTCTGTGTATCCAAAAATTGAAAACATCCACTCTTCTCATGTTTGTTTAGCCCATAATGTTTACATCTCAAATCCTTACTCGTGTCACGGTCAAATTTAGATGTGATAGGGAAACTTACTGGATTTCGTAGTGATTTTCAAAACATCTTCTTGTTGGATGATGGTCGAGTAGACACGATTTAGATGTGCCAGAAGTTCGACACTTAAAATATGGATCTGAGACTTCCATAACTTTCATCATCCAATCCCATTAGGAATTGATACACTTTCTCTTTGTCACGTTGTGTTGCTAGAGCCTTGCTTAAGCCACACTTGCATCCTAGGCACTTACACGTAGGGATTTTTTTCATGATCATTGAGTTCATCAAGATCCCTTTTAATTTTCCAAAGTATGTAACGACATACAGCCCGTTTCGCTTGCAATTTGCAACTTCTTTCTTCAGATGATGAATCTGTGGCCCATTTGCCACAAAAAATCGGTCCTTTATGTTTCTCCATAGTTCCGTAGCCTTCTAGACCTGCATGATGGAAATTTGCAGGCTTCCATCAATGGTGTTGTAAATCCACGAAACCAACATAGTATTCGCAATTTACCATTCTTCATAATTTTTGTTTTCCTCTTCTAGACAAGGGATGGATCCAGTAAATCCAATTTTCTATTCCATTAGTGACGAAGAAAAAGAAGAAGAAATCGGTGTTGATGGCAGATTGTCGGAATGTCACCCCGGAATAAGTTTTCGAAAATTTTAAGATACCTCGAAGTATATTTTGAAAAATGATAGGATGTGGGAGTTATTATTACAAACTGAGAGTACCTTGCAGCAATATTTTGATCAGTTAGTGTTCTATTTTATGTAATACACCCACTTAATGCTTATAGGAGTGTGGTTCTTAGGAAGATGTATCAGATCCCAAATACATGGTTCAAACTTCAAATGTATAAACTCTTCATCCATTGCTTGAACAAAAAATTATTCTTGGATGCTTGGTGACATGTGATGAGTTCAGTAAGAAGAGGTTAGTGTCTGAGTGTTGTGGTAGTATAAATTTTAGTTTTAAAATGTCAAATTTAACACAAGTTTGTCTGAGGTATAATTTAAGATCCTTGCAAAGAAACATAATCAAAGAATATTGCATTATTACAAAGGAACATAAATCTTAAACCAATTCCCTTTGACATTTTAATATTTGATATTGATTCTATTATTGTAACTGAATTTTGTTTTGGGGACAAGAAATGTTTTTTATATAAATGGTAACATTGCTTCAATTCTTATTATTTTATTGACAGTGATGGTGATGATGATGATGATGATGATGATGACAACAACAATAGTATTAATAATAGTAGTAGTTGTTGTTGTAATAAAAATAATATGAAAAAGATATCTAAATAGTTTTTTAAAAGTTATTGTTAGAGGAAATTTGAAGTAATTAGAAAAGGCTGAAAAGATTGGGAAAATTTGAAAATAGTAAGAAGGTTTTTGAATGAGTTAAAAAACATGAAAAAATTGAAGAGCGGTAAGAAGTTGAAAGAAACAAAAATGAGTTATAAAATTTTTCCAACCTAAAGAAACATGAAAAATTTGGAAGTGTTGTAAGAAGTTGAAAGTTAATAATTCCCACCTAAAAAACATGCCTTTGGTTGGTATTTAGGAACACAAAAGACTAACACTATCACAATTAATGTGGACATCTAATAAAAATTTCATAAAACAATGGTCTAAATGCAAACTATCCTTAATTATAGAGCACCGTTTATGGAATTACTCTTAACATTATTTTCTAAAAAAATCCTACGTGACTAAAAACAATACTCGTTAAGTTCATCCAAATTGGAAAAAAAAGATGTGGAAAAGAAACAATGGTTTGAGTGTAGGGATGATCATCATGCACGGGTAGCCAAAAACTTAATGCCGGAATCACTATGATTTGTAAGCTCTCCAGCTGTGAATGGCTGCTCTTGGCCAAAGCCAAAATCCCTTCTTAAGATCGTAAACCCGCAATAATCAACCTCATAAACACTAGCTCCTTTCATGGCTGCAGAAAACACAGAGCCAACTCCTTCCCCTGGGTTAAGAAAACACAGCAAAGGAATAATAGCTAAAAAGCATTTGAAGAAGTTAGACAATGGTGTGTATTAGATGACAAAATTAAAGAAAATGTGTGATTTTGAAGATGGTGCAAGCCAAACACTGCCTATTCCAAGCAAACAATTTCAAACCCATAGTGGGACTATGGGAGTAAAAGTCAATGTGAAGGGTATTGAATCTATTGATATTAGCTAGCAGAGATAGGCATAAAGAGGTAATACTCGAGTTTGACTCATGGTAACAAACAATAATGCGCAACATGGAGATTGGAGACCCTCATTTGCTCGACAATGACTATAGGGGCAATTGTCTGGTCTGTGCTATGAGGTTCATCTTTTTTTCCTATAACCCGTGGTGGTGCATGTGTATTGTGATAAGAACAGACAGTCGCAAAATGTGAACGGAGAACCGTACATTGCAGGGTGGGATCAACAAAAGGGCATTTTGAAAAATGCCCAAAACAATAAAATGTTCATCAACCACAGAAAAGGAATGAACCCCATCATTAGGGTCCTCCCAAGACTGGCCAGATAGTCGGACAAATAAGGAGCTACATAGTATAATCTTAGTCTGACAAATTGAGATATGTCCTTGTTAGGGCTCCATGGCACGCATGATCGCCTTTCAGTGTCGCTACCCGGACATCACTACCCTTTTGCAACCCTTTTTTGCCATCTAAGCAATGCCCGCAACAAAAGTTCATCAACTCACAACCCCATATTTTGCAGGACAAGAAAATAAATGTTAAGATGGCTAAAACAGTAGGCCTTACCATGTGTGACAAGCAACAAGTTCTCTGATGGATATTTGTCAGCAAGGGCTTTAGCAACATCCACATACCGAGCCCGTGCAGCTAGCACAGGCTCTTCCCAATCAGGTAGCTATACTTGTACAAAAAAGCAGAAAATACTTCAACCAAAATACCAAATCATACAATAGAGAGAGTTAGGAACTTAGGATCGAAGAAATATACCTTGTAGATTTTTTCTGCATTGTGATCGATAGTTCCAGTAGGTAATTGAGATTCACATTGAGAGACACTGAATTTAAAATCTCCATCCTTTGGAGCCACGTTAGGTCGTATCGCTCGCGTGTTCAACATTTCAGATAATCCCATTTCAACGGAAACCTATTAAATGTACAAAGAGAGGAAGACTCATAATCACAAGTAACCAAACCTAATAAATGTCACTCAAGCAACGGTAGGGGCAAGATTTTAAAAGTAAAATTCTAAGAGGACCCGAATCGTGATGAAGAGTGACACTCACACACTGCCTCAATAAGGATACAATCCCTCCGTCCCATTAAATACCTTCCCTTTTTCGACGTCTCAAGAAATAGTTCTCACTTGCATTTTCATTTTTCACCCAAACAAATTTTAGGATTATACTCCTAATCCTAACAACTATCACTACTGGAGAAGGATGATCAAGGTCAGACAGGAGTTTGAGAAATGGGATAGAAATGAAGTTTTTGACATAAAGAAGGGTTATAACTAGCTGTTGGGTAGTCATGAATCCCCATTTTGGTATAAATGGGTTTGGAATAAACAAGGGATCCCAAAGCACAGATTTATCTTCTGGTTAATAATGAAAGGAAGACTCCAAACACGAGCGAGGCTGAAAAAGTACATGGACATTGACGCTAGATGCACTCTCTGCGAAGAGGAAGAAAACATAGAACATCTATTCTATAAGTGTGACTTCGCCCAAGGGATTTACACGCAGATCTTCGGTTGGCTTAAATACAGAGTTGAAGGAGCAAATCTTAAAGATATTGGTGAGAATACTATGAAGATGCAGGGGGCAAGACGAAGAAATATAGTCATGGCAGCATGGCTGGCTATTTGCTACTCCCTCCGTCCCACTTTAGATTACAATATTCCCATTTTGTTGAAATTAAGGAAGAGTCAAATCAAATTTTTTTCCCCAAATTACCCCCCAAATCTCCCAAGTATCCTTCCCACTCACATGGATGATAGTGTGTGAATGGTGTAGGAGTGGGAGGGTAAAAGAGTCAATTCCTTGTAAAGTTATTGACTTTGTAATTCTTTTTGGGACAAAAATGTGAGGGAATATTGTAATCTATTTCGAGACGGAGGGGTATTTTATTTGGCAAGCACTTAATGCTAAAGCACATCAGAATGAAATGAAGAAAGAAGAGACGATAGCTGGTATTAAATACAATTTACAAACTATTATGAACAAGAATGATGCAAAGTAGTTTGTAGTAAGGCTTGATGATTACAGTCTGTATTACACTTGTGTGGGGGTGAAATATAAAGATAGTATTTTGTTCAAAAAAAAAAAAATTAGTAGTGCATTTTTCATTTTTCTCGGAACTTTTTTAAAACTTTGTAAAAATCAAACCGGTAAAATTTCTGGGAGGGAGGGAATTATTCCAAAAGTTTGTTGACCCTTGTAAAATCTTTGGGGAGAAAAAAACCCAGAAGGTTCAAATAAAAGGTCCTTTTTAAGGAAAAAAGTTTTCACTTTTCATGCTCCTTCCTAGGTTTAACACAACAAAGGTCTGAATTTATTCAAAGAGACAATGCAACTGTTTATGTTCGGAAGTTCCCATCCTATGAACAAATTCATACGTTGGGGGAATTATAGCATGTTTTTGTAATTGTAAATAGAGAAAGAGACCTTGATTTTGGAGAGATCCACGGCGGCGGCATCCGTAGAGACCCTGCCGGAATCACCGGCGGAATCGGCGACGGTGCATAGACCTCGGACAGCCTCGGACGCTGTCTGGAGGCAGCGGAGAAAAGGAGAGACGAAGACACGGTGGATCGGGGACCCGAGATCTTCTCGGATCCTGCGGCCGACGGCGAAAGCCCGATCCATTCCATCCGGGTGCAGCGGTGGGTCCCACGGCCTTTCCGCACTAGCGGGCCAATCCGGGTCGACGTTATCGAGGCGGTCCCCGTGCCGCATCACGACGACGTATTGGCAATTTCTCCCTCCGTTCCCGTCGGGAAGCTCCATTACCGGCGAACGACGCGAAGTATATTCGAAAGCAATTCTTAAGAATCGGAAGGGCGCTGATTGAGTACTGAAAGATTCTTCTTTCGTGAGTTAGTTGAAATGTTTTCGCCGGCGTAATTGTAGGAAGCAAACATCCGGCCGGCGTTCGCCGAGGAAAATGTCGTTGTTCAGCAAGAGAATTTGGCGCTAGAAAGTAGGGGTGGGAGTGTGGGACTGGGTATTTGTTTGGGGCAAATTTCTCAAAAAAAAACGGACAATAGTGAATCAAAAAATATTGAACCAAAAAAATATAGAGAAAGAATCTAACTATACCGAATCGAATGGTGGGTGATGTCTCATCCCAAACCGAACATATATATATATATATTAATACGGAGTATATTATGGAGTATAAAAATAATAATCTTTTCTTATTTTTTCACTAAATAATAAATTTATTTTGAAAATTTGGTTCAAATTCTATTATGTTTATGTAAGATATAATTTTGTTTAATTTTTTCTATATGAATATAAAAATATTTACAAACATTCGAAATACTATTTTGTTACCGTTTGTTTTTTTAGTTTATGAATATATAAACTAAATTTTGATACACATTTCTTGCATTCAAATTTCATTTTTTTAGTTTTTTATACTTTATTTATCTAATGTACTTTAAATTTTCAGAAACAATGGGATATCGTTACATTTTAGGATGTAAAGTAGGTATGTAAACATTCATCTCGATTTGTACCAAAATCAATATCAAACCATACCGAATCGATATGTCGGGACCGAGATCGGTACGATCTAAAATCTCATAGCGAACCAAAATGTTTGGTACGGTACGAGCTAAATACCGTACCATGTTCACCCCTACTATTTGTTTAGAATGAAACAGAAATTAGAAGACAAATTATTTGGCACCAAAAAGTAGAAAGTTTAACATCTTTAAGAACTTGTTCTCTTCACCTGATCTGAATGATTATGATCTGATTGAAATAAGTTTGTTCTGATCTGATCTGAATGTAGTGATATTAAAAACTACTCCGTATTTCAGATATGATTTGATCTGAATTGATTTCAATAAGAATAAATACTAAGTAATAAGAATAAGTTGAAGATAACAGGCTTTGATACTCCCTCCATCTCTAAATAGCTTCTTTGATCCACGTGCAAAACGTCGTGGCTTAAAAATAATTTTATTTACAGAGTAGTTTAGAAATAAAAAATTATATTTAAAGATATACAAAACAAGACGTGAAAATAATATTTTATTTCATTAAATGATCAATGAAAAACATGCAAACAAACAAAATTATTGGAAAACCGCAATAATAAAGAGATAAATTATTTTAGGACAAATAGTATTTAAAATGATATCATCATACATTAGACCTTGTAAAAAGAAAGGTATCTAATTATGAGTTCAAGAAAATATTTGAGAATGTTCACATTTAAATATTAGGATCATAGTAGCATAACTCCAAATATAAAATACTTTGTCAAGGAACTTATTCGACCAAAAGCTCAATTTTGTGATTGTGGAAACATTCTTTATATTCTAACACGCTCTCTCAGGTGCAGACATAGCCTTTTTCGATCCTTGCACGTAAAACTTAATTTTTTTAAAAAAAATAGGTGGCGCTAATATTTCGAACTCGTGACTTCTTAATCAAGAAGGCTCCAATACCATTTTAAGAAATCAACTCAACCAAAAAATTAAGCTTGGATGCTTTTAAAATAATATTTACTCTTTTTTTGCATGGAGAATTCCATGATTATATAAGCCAATATGTTTTCTTTAACACTTTTAAAATTTATTGGACTTCTTAAGTTTGTTATTAGGACACTTTTAAAAAGTTGATTTCTTAATAAAATACTTTTACTTTTCGAATGTATTTTTGGGTTTAATATCATTCAAAATATATGCATATTCCCTCCTCCCATTTTATATACTTATTTTGATTTTAGGGCATAATTCATAAGGAAGAGAAAGATGGCATTGACCTTCCTAAAATGCCCTTCACTCTATTAAATGAAATCAAACATATCCCATATGCACACCCATGAATTAAAAAATCAATCAAACACACATGAAATCAAACATCAAACACAATCCAAATTACATCACACCAATGTTTTTTTTTTTTTGAAAACTTTCAATGGAAGTAAAAGAGAATGCCAGTGGCTTGATCTACACTCACAGGGCAGCAGTAGTGCAACATTGAAGATTTGAAATTTCATCATATAGCTCTTTAATATCCACATGAACACTAGATCTGAAATTTCATCATATAACTCCTCAAGATTTCAAAAAAAAAATTATATATAAACCACAAATTAACATGTGAAAATAGAAAAAATGTTTGTAGATGAAATTATACAAATTAACCTTAGCAAGAAAGCCCTAGATCCGAAATGAACACAAGATTGTAAGGGTATATGGGAAAAGCCTATATCTGGAAACACGATCAAAAACCAATTTTAAGAGAAAACTCTAAAATCATAAACAAAAAACAAAAGAATTGCATGAGAGAAGAGCGAGGAGAGTGAGATGATTAAAGAACGATAGAAAGTAAAACAAATACGGCGGACGACTGATTGCCAAGGAGAAGATGATTAGTGTGAAGAGATGCAGGGAGCTGAATCAATGGATGGGGCGATAAAAGAACAGATGAAGGAGATGAATGAGTGGATGGGGGTGGTCGATGAATGAGAAAATAAGGCGGATAAAAATAGCTTATTTTAGGAGTAGTTTAGATATTTTGTCAATAAGAACTTACTATAATAGAAAATATTTAATTTATTTGGGGACAGACGAAAAAACAAATAATTTAAATTAGGACACAAGGTGTACGTTTATTTGGAGGCTTCAAGATCCAAATGCAATTATTATTGGATAGGAGATGCAAGTTGCAACAAAAATGCCAAGGACATTTTCAATCATGGACAATTATATGTTGCTATGTCTGGAGTTCAAAGCCAGCCGAGATAAAATAATAATAATAATAAAAATGTCACAGTGGGGAATATTTGTTTTTTCTACGTTGTACATAGACTATACTATTTTTGTATTCTTTTTTCTGCACATATATCGCCATCGCACGGGTAAAAATCTATGACAAAAAATATGCAGAAGGGCATTTAAAGACGATCATCATTTATATGTACATAGTGCAAAACCTGCAACCAGTCATTCATGTTTTTATTTGCTGCTACTTGCCTGTTTCTTTCCCTGTCCAACTTCGACCAATAACGTCAGAAGGGCTTCGCAAACCTGAGACGCATCAGCTTCGGACAGGTCGTCACCCAGGGATGAATACACCATCCAGGCGTGGTCCAGTTTTCGGGTTGGCTTCACGACGACCGAACCGGGCACTTCCGCGTCACGGCAAGTGACCAATCCGTCACTCTTCTCACCATACCTGATCTGAAGCAGCTGGGCACAGGCTGCCATTGCAGCCCCCAGTGGCATCACCACTGGGAGTTTTGTGGACTGACCGGTCACAGAAAATGTGGGCAGTTCGGCATGTGCGATGCGGGACAGGGAGGCCAAGACCACAGGAGAGATACCTGCCTCTGTGTGGAAAGACACAGTTGGGAGTTCTCTTGGCAATTGGTGTTTCTTTAGGAAGGCTTTCCTCCTTTCGTATGTCAAGTCTTCTAGTGCTTGCATGTCTCCCTACAACACAACAATTGCCATCATTACAGATTTTGACCATATAAGCATTTGGGGGTCCGGACCCCAGAGATGTACTCCCTCCGTCCCAATAAAAGCCTCCCAATTAAGTTTGGCACAAAGTTTAAGAAAAATAAAATTGTGTGGTTGAAAGTGATTCAGAGGAGAGAGAAAAATGCTGGGCCACTCAAAGTTCTCCAAAAAATGAGAGTATTTTTTGGACATCCTGAAAAAGAAATGAAGTCTTTTTTTTGGGACGCGGGGAAGTATGAAATATAGTAAGTATCGACAAATGGGGTCCGGGTATGTGCAGACCTTACCCCAACCTACAAATTATGATAGAGGACCTATTACCGAAGGACCATCGGCTCAAGAAAACATATGATAGGCTAAAACAATCAAATATTATGTTCAGATTAGTACATTACACTACTATCAGTTCAATTCACCAAGGATACATAACCAAGAAATACCTTGATTACTTTACAGATGAGTATCTCCATAAGCTTGCGCGCATTAACATAATCACCCAGCTGCCCTTGCCGCAGTATGTCTGAGGCGATCGGACTCCCACCATATGGACTCTGTGCAAGTACCAGCCCCGCAACCTTATCTTTCAGATCAGACCAATATATGGATAGAGCGGCAGCAGCATCTATCCCTCCTTTGCTGTGTCCAAGAAGCAGAACTCGTTTCCCAGATCCCCAAAACATTTCTTCGATATAGTGTTTTATCTCTCTGGCATTTTTCTCGACCGATGCCTGAAAACATGCTTTTAGCACCAAAAATGATACCGGAAAAATACTAAATTCAGGGAAAAAAGGTGGGATGATACAGTACCTCACTGTGAATTTTAGCAATGTGACAAGTTAGTCCAATTTTTGAGAAAGATGTTTTTGTATTAACAAAGTAAAGGGGTCCATGGTTGCTGAAAAGGCCTGAAGAGTAAGAAGATCAGTGAGGATTTCAAAAGTATAAGGAAATAAGTTTCACCAGCACACACTGCTACCCACATATGACGACATTTTGGGCAAAAGGTTTGATTCACGAAAATACTATTCTTAAATACACTACATGGAAGTTCAATGATAATAATAAAAGCTCAAACTTATTTTGCTAACAGCCTAACAATATTAAAGCCTTATTTAGGGAAGGGTATACATATTGCAATATTGCTACCTGGTACGAGCAAGTATACGACTGTCTTTGGCAACCTATGCACACCATGCCTGATGAAGCAAAAAGTGGGTTAAAAAACATCTCTAATTCAATTCAGGAGATGATCGGCAAAACGAGTAGCAGAAGCACAATACCTAATAGAATCAATAATCTCCAAAAATCTTTGAGTGCCATCTTTTACTGGAGGCATTTCTGGATCACGCTGCATCCATCCAATATCATCAGCTGAGCCACGAATTGTCCTCTGTACTCTTTCAATCAGACTACAGAAAAAAAGTGTGGTTACTGGTTAATCACCTCTCTGAGAGGGCCTGCAAAGAGAAAAGTATAAAGAATCCCAACCAAAAAAAGGAGTCTTCAAATTCCTTTACAAGCATTATGAAATGGTGTAATTGATGGATCGTAGACAATCAGAAAGAGAATCAAGGATTCATAAAATTGATGTTTTTTTCTTGAATCTTGACAGGTATAAATAGTTATGTGTAGTAACGATCTTTTTCCTGAAGTATTTCCAAGGTTGCATAAATGTAGATATCCACCACCAAAGTCCATCCATCAAAATTACGTGGAACATTGCCCGAATAATCTAAAAAGGTTTCTTTTATTGAAATGTTTCAGATTTTCAAGAAAAGACAAACACAAGAGCCCCAAATGATGCATACCCTTGAAAAATAGAAATGCCATTTTGATTTGACTGAGCTGATGTCAGAATCGCACTAGAGTTCAACAATGGTTCTCTTTCTGATTCTGCTGAACTACAGTTTAACAATGGCTCTTTTTCTGATTCTGTTGAACTACTAGTCATTTCTTCATGGATGCGTGGAGCATGCATTTCTTGATTAGATGATTCTGAAGATCGGAATGCAGTTGCACCTAGAAGAGTATTAAAGGTAGTAACAGATCCTCCAGAATTTCTAGAACCAAATGTCACCATTTCCTGTCCACCAGAGTCTCCAACAGCCAAGCCTGAGGTACCAATGTATTATAGCAAAAGAACTTAATTGCTATTAAAAAATCCATAATTACTAATTAGGAGAGAAGAAGTAGCGCAAGACTACAAGTAGCAAATGCAATGAAAGGAGATAATAATATTCTACATATTACATAAATTAGTGCAAGAGGTAGAGAAAAAGTGTGCCAGAATGAATGCAAGTGAAATTGAATGCGGTCAAGATTTTATTAGTTTTGGGTTTATGCAAACCTAGTCTGCATACTTCATGGTTCAAGTGTTTAAACTAACTAATACCTGCTGAGATTAATGATAGATCATTAATATTAGATATTTTTTAGAGAGATTTCCAAGTGAGTGTCAAAAGAAAGAAACACAGGCTACCAAGGTCATACACTTTACCATTTGAAAAAACTAAAAATGCTAAACTTCTACAGTAACCCTCACCGGAAAGACCAGGGAGACAGCTTGTAAACAGAGAAGTTGTTTCTGCAAGATAAGATGCTGCTTCATTAAGCCTTGGCATGGAACTGATGGAAGTGAATAGTTGAGGGAAAACATGGTCATTTCTAACTGAACCGTCATTTGCCTGACCAAAAATTAACAATTCTATGAGCTCAAAAGTAGTTTGAGATCAAGATAAACTCCAAAGCATAGGAAACCGATTTTTCTAATAACACTAGATAGATAGACAGCATGATCAAGAACAAAGAGGCACCGTTTTGGCTGTTTAAGGGGTGAAAATGATAATAGGGTGTATGTCATATGCTACAAACATCACTTAGATCTCATAAGGGGTGTGGTAGCAAATAGGCAACTGCTGAAAATTTAAAAGGAGGGCTAATAGCATAGGTTCCCCCCGTGGTTTACAAAAAGGGCTTCAAAGCCCCCTCTGTTTTCAAAGGTTATTTGTAAAGTCCCTATGGTTTCTATATAGAGCACACATGCCCCCCTAACCTATTTTTAAAGCAAAAATGACATTTATGCCCTTTCTTTTCCTCGATCTTGAATTTTCCCAATGTTATTCTCTTTTATTATACAAATATTTAAAATAAAATATACATTTCCCATCTCAAATTAAAATTTTCCATAATGTATTTTTAAAAACAAAAGATTTTTTTGGAGAATGTTACAAAAGAAAATGAAAAATAAATTATTATGTACAAAGTAAAAATTATAATTGAAAAAAGGTAATGAAAAGAAAGAAAATTATAAAAAACAGTCTTTTTCTTTAACTCCGTATTTTATTTCATCTTTCTGTTCTTCATTTTTTAAAGTCCTTAAAAAATTATTTTACTTTTAAAAAACAAATAAGTTAGAATTTTTAATTAGAGATAGAGTGAGTATATGTTATCTATTTTTTTATTTTATTTATTTTACTTTTACTTATAATGAAAAAGTGTATTTTATTTCATTTTTTAAATTTTCATTTTCTTTTATAACATTTTCTAAAAAAAATTATTTTTTTGAAAATTAAATAAATGAAAAGTTTTAATTTGAGAAAGAGAGTGTATATTTTATTTTATTTATTTGTATAACAAAAAATGCAAATAAAAGAGTGAGACTTGAAGATAGAGAAAAACAAAGGGTATTAATGTCATTTTATATCTTAAAAAAGGCAAGAGGGGGCGTTTGTGCACTATTTAAAAATCACAAGGATTTTACAAATAAATTTTGAAAGTAGAAGGGGCAAATAACTTATAGAGCCAAATTGAAGAGCATTACACCAAAGGATGAGACTTCAAGATCACTAGATGAATTATGAAAGAAAGAGGTTCCAAGTGTCTATAGTGTTGGAAAGTAATTTACTCATACATGTTAAAGACAAACTTTGCTCAGGTTTCCTTGGATAATAATCAATGCTATCTTTCATCTCTGAAAAGTGAGACAAACCAGAAAAGGGCTTGGACATCTCAGGTATTCTATGCATCAACAATTGGTAACATTAGCAAAGGGGAAAAACATAAATTTCCAAATTTGTGCATCAGCATAACTATGGTAGTCAAACTCTAGATTCTATGTAGGATCGATGGGTCTAATGAAGATCATAACATCGTAAGATCGTGACTCGGATCGTAAGATCCTACTATATATATATTAAATTTTAATAAAACATAAAACAAGTCCAAGTTGGATATCAGACTTACCCGTTTATAATCTAAATTACCCTTTTACAGTATAACCCACACTCCTTATATATAATTAAAAATCAGAGATATATCCTGGGCAAAAATTGAGACTTGGAGGAGACGCGCAAGGCAACAAGCTTTGCCGCGTTAGAAGGGAGAAGGCTAGAAGCTACAAAATACTTGAATTGGAAGTCGCGAAATCATCGCGATTCAAATTGGGAGTAGCAAAATAGTCGAAGCGACTAAATCGACAAAATCGAAGCAACAAAATAGGGCTTTTCAAATTTCCGATTCTTTCCTTTTTTAGATCGACGATTTTCTGCGATTGTGCGATTGCACGATCCAGATCGGCGATTCTTCCGACCCGAAGGATTCTTGCAATTTTGATTGTGAGTTGGATCGGAACCCTCCTGGCGATCTCTGGAATCGTACAATCGTACGATCCGGATCGCGATTTTGACTACCATGAGCATAACAAAGTTAAGAGACGATTCCAGAATTCATTACAACTAAATTAACATAAATGTAGCCCAAATAAAACTCAACTGATTCAATGATTTCCTACTTTAAGCCCTAAAGCTCATCGACAAACACACATTCTAAAAGGAGATCAGATAAATCCCTCAGGGGATGAAAATGAATTGCAACATGAACAGAGACCGAAGAACACAAACTTTTCCAAATTTTACAAGGTATTTGGGTGTCGCACGGTCCCCAAGTATCCAAACGGAAACATTTCAAGGACGGAAAGCAGGCACTAGTTTGAAGAATTTGTGCAACATAGCCAACAACATACGGAAGAAAAGGTTGAAATTTATCTAAGTATATACTACTAAAACATACCGTCAATGGTGGGCTTGCATCTCTGCCATTACTATCTTGATCGTCCATATAGCTGAAACCGACAGCTTTAGATTGAAGAAACAAAGTAAGAAATGATTCATTTATGAAGCAAAAATCAGTTTATAACTATGATATTTTCCATCGGAATAGGTTTTTAAAATTGAAACAAGAATTAAAACATTAAAAAATCAATTAAAAATGAAGAAATGAGAAAAGGGGAAAATACCTTAACAATGACTAAAACATGCTCCATATATCAAAATAGAACATTCAATGTTTTTATACCAAAAGATGACTTATAGTGCGAACAAGTTGTCAGTAGATAATGCCCAAAAACACTGTGAAATGCTAATACATAATGACAAATTCTTGCATCTAACAATTTCAATGCTCCATAAAAAAGTAGGTCTTATTTTAGTATAAATTTTACATTTATGTCTAACTTAATTTCTTTACAAAATACAAGCCGAATCAAATTTTTAAAGTTTGAAAACATCAAAATTAAATAAGAAACGAATTGAAGGTGTAAAATCAATTTTTAGAATTGAAAATAAGTTACAGACCAAGTTTCTAAGAAACAATTTGAAAAATCAGACCTTAGCTCTGCAAAACTGACAGATAAAAAAGTGATAAAGAATAAAAATAAATCAGACCTTAGCCGTCCTAAATCAGTTTGGTAAACCTGCAAATGAAACAAGAAACAAGTTAATCAATTAAAGAATCAATTTATTAAACATGAAATCGAACTAAAGCAGTTCTAAATGAGTTATCCACAACCAAATATTTTATCCCCATCTTCACATACTCATTTTGTTTTTCCAGAAAGTCAAATTGGATGTCAAAACACCCATTCTAGGGCACAGTGATCCGAGAGAAGGCTTCATTCGCGCACATCACTGAGAAATCAACAGAAAACATTAATTTATGCCGAAAACGCAATCAAGTAAGCTTCAGCGTGCATAAACCAAAACTTCATCTAGCACCTAGATCGTCCCCTAGAGGAATTGAAAAAATCTGAAGCAGTAATTTGTTTGAAACAAAAATTGGAAAAATTATGAACACATGCGAATCAATGGGAGTATAAACATTTGAATTTTTTAAACAAAGGAAATGAAGGAATCATAAACTCGCCATTCACCAAGAATGAAGAATTGCTCCAGATAGATTAGATGAAAGAAAAGCGAGAAGGAAAAAAATGGAGATCGCACTTCTGAAGAAAATACATAACCAACCTTTGGGGGAACTTTTTTTATTTGTTTTTTGTTTTTGATAGATTGAATTTTTGGTGTAAATATACTTATATAAATAAGTAGTACGGAGTATAATTTTCACTTGTAAAATAGCTTATATAAAATAGCTTTTCAAAATATAGTAATGCATAGCCATGTTTGGGAATAACGCTAAAGATTAGCGTTGGCGTTTTGGATAAAATTTTGACAGTGCAGATTAGTTTGAAAACGTTAACGCTAAACGTTACTCGTAGATAGCCTTTTCAAAAAGCTAACTCTAATCGCAAAAAGTCTGTTTGGGAATAGCGTTAGAGATTAACTTTAGCGTTTTGGATAAAATTTTAATGGTGCAAATTACTTTGAAAACGATAAACGCTGACCGTAGATAGCCTTTTCAAAACGCTAACGCTAATGGCTAACGTTATTCCCAAACAAGCTCTAAATCTATTCCCAAACAGAAATTTGAAAAAGGTATTAAAACTGATTCAAAACTAGAATAGGTAGTTATAGTACACCAAGTCCGGAGCAACTATGGGTATCGCCCCAAAAGATTCGGTACCGATTTTCTTACTCGTCTCTATCGATTCTGTTCTTTGTTCCCATTTCAATACTGATTAAAAACAAGAATGGTATTCATGTATAAATTGTCGAATGATTGATGTCCTCCTAGTAGACCTGATCAAAGTGCGGGCCGGGCCCAGCCGAGATGCTACATTACGGTAATTTTTTAAGCCCAAGCCCCACCTGCATGGATGCCCGCGGGCTTTTGACAGACCCGGTCCGCAAGACAAAAACTTCTAAATAAAGAAAAAATAATTCTTTTAAAAAATAAAATAATGTGTTAATTTATTAGATATTTGATATAATAACTATAATGAGTAAATAAAAGAACAATTGTTATATAAAATGTGTGTGTTTTGTTTGATATTGCTAGTACGTAAAGAGTACGAAGTATTATTTATTATAATATCATTATTAATATGTGATACGTAGTAAACAATATAAAGTAATAATAATGTATTCAATTTAGTAAATATACTTTTAATTCACTTTTTCCTCCATAGAAGTATGTTTGTATGTTTATAATAATGTAAACTAATATAGCTCGTTTTATTATTAATAATATTAATGTTGTTGTTATTATTTTATTATAATTATACTAACATTATGTATTTTAATTCATTTGGGCCGGGCCGGCCTGTCGACTTGAGCATAAACCTCGAGTCGGCCCTAAAATACTTGGGCCGTCATTTATAAGGCCAAAGCCTACCCCATACCAAAAAATATCAAGCGAAACTTTTTTTATTTGTTTTTTGTTATTGATAGATTGAATTTTTTGTGTAAATATACTTAAAATAAATATAATTTTCACTTGTAAAAGAGCTTATCTAAAATAGCTTATCTAAATATAGTGATGCTTATCAAATTTGAAAAAGTTATTAAAAGATTTAAAATTCATTCAAAACTAGATTCGGTAGTTCCGGTACCCAAGTCCGGAGCCACTATCGGTATCACCCCAAAAGATTTCGGTAGAGATTTCCTTACTCGTCTCCATCGGTTCTATTTTTTGTTCTCATTTCAGTACTATTTTTAAACCAGAATAGTATTCATGTGTATACTATCGAATGATTGATGTGCTCCTAGTAGACCTGATCAAAGTGTGGGCCGGGCCAAGCTGAGACACTACATTACGGAAATTTTTTGAGCCCGAGCCCGGCCTGCATGGATATTAGATACCCGCGGGCTTCCAGCCGGCCCGGTCCGCACGACAAAAACTTCTAAATAACTAAAAAATAATTCTTTTAAAAAATAAAGTAATGTGTTAATTTATTAGATATTTGATATAACTAGATTCATACCCGTGCGTTGCACGGCAAATAATTTATTCCAAATTATTAAAATGATATTTTCATGAAATAAATGTCTAAATCTAAATTTAAATATAGGATTAAATATAAATTTAACATATATTAGTAGCGAACTATATGAATGAATTTGACACACAATCGCAATATTTGAAAGAGTTGCATTTTAAATTCCACTTTCTGTAACGGTATAACATGTTTGGGTAAGAGAGCCTGACGTAATTTTTAAAAAGGTATAATCACATCCCGGTGAAAACCGGCTTAAAGGCATCAAATATATGACATATATGAAAGTGTTCAATTCATTAAATTTATGACTTGCCTATATAAATATATGGCATCAAAATGTCTACTTCATAACATGGTTTTCACCTATATATGAGTTGCCCATATAAATACCCTAACATAATTTTTGCAATACATTAAAAAAACACTCATAACATATACAAAACACATCACATTCTATTTTTATCCATCACATCAAGGGTATTTTTGGAAAGTCAACACAAAAATATTCATACCTTAATTTTTTTAAAAAGTCAAAATATGAACATTTTTTGTGATGCAAGAAGTATATATATGAGCAATTATGCATTGCATGTTGAGCTAACTTTAATGGTAGAATTGTTGGTCTCCTTGTCAATAACATGGGAAGGGTTCCCATGACATTTTTACTCCAAAGTCAAAATAAACTTTTGAGGTGCAATTGAAGGAGATATGGAGTGTGGGGGTTCTTAGAGGGTAGGAAGCGTCAGTTTCAAGAACAGGGCACCAGAGCACTCCCGGATCATCCCATGACATGGGATTCCAATATCATGGGAACCCCACCCCAATAACATATGCAAAATAATATAAGCAAGGATAAAACATCTCCAACTTTCAATTATCTTCTACATATAACTCCACTTGATCTTTCGAATGATTAAAACTATGAATCCCAAAAATTTAATATGTTTTTTTACAATAAATAAAAAGCCAACTCAACAATTGGCTCATTCTCACCTTAAAATACACTATTGTACAAAACGTACATATACTCTTTAAAATACTGATACAAAAATAAAAAGATATGATTTCTTTGAGATGTAAAAATTAGACATAAAAAATAAGACGGAAGATGAAGATATTGAAATCTTGCCCTTCCAAATTTTCACCCACTCTCCACTTGCATCCCCAAAGCTCTGCATTCATGAAAACGGTTATGCTTTACAAAGTTCACTAATAATTTCAATAAATTGTACATATGTATCTTGATTATAAAATATTGGTATTAACAGTATCTTGCTGTCATCATATTAGCAGTGTGTTGCTTTAAACAAAGGCCTTCCTTAAAACAAATTTGTTATTTGTAGATCTTTTGATATAGTTTCTAAATATGTAATTTTTATGTTAAAATTTTACACCATTTTTTATATAAAATTATTTAAAAATAACTTCAATCAAATATCGTAACGCGCACGGGAAAGTTTATTTGTGGACGAAGGGAGTATATGATGAATATAAAATAAAATTATATACCTAACTTTATAAATTATTACATATCACATCAAACACAAACAATAATATATTCTTTTTTATCCAAATTTCTAATACATGTATCTAGTTGATCATTTATTTGAGTAACATTTTAACACTTAAATTTTTTCAATATTTTCCAACTTTTACTAAGTCCTAGTTTCGTCCAACTCCTTTCAATTTCTTCTAAAATCCAACTTTGAAATTATATCTATTTTGAATATAGTTCTAAAATGTTAAATTATTATAATATTTATATAATTATTGTAAATTATATTTAATTCGCAGTTAAAAGGAACCACATGTTGATCAAAAAAGTCAAATTATGACAATCTTTTAATGTCGATTGAGTATATATTTTATTTAATTGTATGTCAATTTCAAAAATGATGAATTACAAAAAATCAAAACTGACAAAAAAATCTAGAGCAAGGTATTATAGAGTAAGGACCATGCTACACTTACACCAACAAATATACCCCATTTGTACACCACAGGTTTGCACAAACATTTCGATGGTTTACACCGACACAAGTGTTAGTGCGTTAATAAAAATTCACACGGACACAAATGTTGGTGCGTTTAACAAAAATTAATTTTACACCAACACAAAATGTTGGTGCAAAACTGCGGGGTACAAATTGGGGTACAAATTTTGGGGTACAAATACCATAATCCATAGACCTTTTGTTTTTTATTTGATCGAGGTAATAACCCCCTGTTGGAAACCACTCTTGAGAATTGAAGTGCAAAAGACATGCGCACAATTAATAGTACATGTGCCTTCTCAATGTATTGATCAATGACTTCTTGGATAATAAATCGACGGCTCAGCCCTTAAAAGAAAGAGAAAAAATCGACGGCTAAAATTGCATATCTCCTTTAGCGGGAAAACACCATTTTTCTTTTTTTTCTTTTCTTCTCTAATTCTTTTGCTTTTGTATATAGTATAGATAACTATAATGAGGCCCTGTTCCGTTCAACTTATTTTTTCTTATTTTTTCTTATTCTTATTAAAATCAGATCAGATCAGACCAGATCAGATCGAATCAGATCAGATCAGATCAAAACAAATCAAATCAGATCAGATCAGACCAGATCAGATCCAATCAGATCAGATCCCATAAAGAATTATTATTATTATTATTATTATTCTTAAAAATGAAAAAAAGTAAACTTTAGAAACAAGTTAAATGGAAAACTGAGAAATTAATCCTTAATTATTAGACGTTGAAAAAATTATTTTTAAAATACATTGACAATGTCAATCTAATTCTACTTTTAAAATACATTTTTATTGCTACCTGTAATTTGAGTTTCTAAAGTTTTGATCATTTATAAGGGTGAGATATTTTAATAAAAATACTATCTCTTCTGATTTTATATAAATTAAATATTTATTCTAATTATGTATGAACTAATTATTAAAATATTAAATCAATATTTTTATTTCACAAACAATAATCATAAAATAAAAAATATTATTACATTAAAATATGAGTGATTATTCTAATATATAAATTAACTAATTTTATTTTATTAAAAAATAATTATAAAATAAAAAATATTGATGATATTATAATATGAATTTTCATTACAATTTTCAAACGTTATTATAAACTCAAATCATAATTAATCAGATCATAATTAATCAGATCAGATCCAATCAGATGAGATCAGATCTGATCATATCCAATCAGATTAGACCAGATCAGATCAGATTCAATCAGATCAGATCCAATCAGATCAGATCAGATCAGAACTACAAAAAATCAGATCAGATCAGAAAAAATAAGTTGAACGAAACAGAGCCTGAGTAAATGAAAGAACAACTAATATATAAAATGTGTGTGTTTTGTTTGATATTGCTACTACGTATAGAGTACGAAGTATTATTTATTATAATACCATTATTAATGTGTGATATGTATTAAACAATATAGAGTAATAATTAATGTATTCAATTTAGTAAATATACTTTTAATCTACTTTTTCCTCTATTGAAGTATGTTTTTATGTTTATAATAATCTAAACTAATATTGCTCTTTTTACTATTATTAAGATTAATGTTATTATTATTATTTTATTATAAGTATACTAACATTAAGTATTTCAATTCATTCGGGTCGGATTGGCTTGTCGACTTGAGCATAAAATTCAAGTTCGGCCCTAAAATACTCGGGCCGTCATTTATAAGGCCAAAGCCCAGCCCATACCAAAAAATATCAAGCTCAAGCCCGCTATTTTGCAGGCGGGCAAGATACTCGGGCCCATGATCGAGTCATTGAACTGCAACAAAAGTTGTCATCACATTCCACAAATTTGATTAGATATATGAACAGGTTGGGAAGGTCCATTACTGGGAAAAATTGGAAAAGCAATGGGAATGGCTAAACATCACACGTAATATGCAACATGTGCATGCATTCTACGTCCCGTAAAATAAGTCACGTTTGAAAACGAGTTTGAGATTGCTTAATTTTTAGAAAAAGTGATTATTTTAACCACATAATCTAAAACCATTTCAGAACAGCTTCTCAGCTTCTGCTTTTGCAACAATAAAAAGGCCGCCATTGCAAACACTCCAAACTGAGTCTATTCAAAGCAGAAGTTAAAAAAAATTAGATGCTCTGATGCACTGACAGACACCCTCATGTTGTCCCAAAAAGAGCCCTAACTGAAAAAAAGAAGCTAATTTTCATTTTATTTACAAAATAAGTGCACCAGAAAAGTTCAGCGTTACATTCAGCTAAACCAACAAATAAATTTGAAAACCTACCTATATTTGATGATTTCTAATACTTGGTGCCTTACTCAAATTTAAAAATTTTACTGTCGTAAAACAAGGCTCTTTATAAGGGAAGAAGGGAGTAAGATACTCATAAGAAAAACAAGTTACTAAGGGGAAAAGATTATAAAGTTTTACTCTGGTGCGTGATAACCAAAGGTTCCCAGAACTCTAGTGGAATGAAGCCTGGCAGCCATATCAGGTGCTTGGTTGGAAAGGTTAAAATCTGCAATTTTTGCTTTGAAGTCTTCAAAAAGGAGGACATTGCTGGATCTTATATCCCTGTGTATAATAGGAGGTTGAACCTTCTCATGCAAATATTCGAGTCCTCTTGCAGCATCTACCGCAATCCTTACCCGTTGCATCCAATCAAGAACAGGACCGGGTTGTGCTCCTTGTACACCTTTCCTTCCTGAAAGCACATATACACTTCATAAATCTTCGGTCATAGTTACTCCGTTTAGAACTTAACTTTTTTGGGTCAGCCAAATATATTCACATCAAGAGACAGTTTGCATACCATGCAATATATCATGCAAAGATCCCATTGTTGCAAACTCATAAGCTAATACACGAAGATTCCCTTCAACACTATAGCCAAGCAGCTCAACAAGATTTTCGTGTTTCAATCTTGAAACAGTGGAAACCTGACAAAGACAAGTAAAGATTATAGAATGACAAGCTACCCTGGGAAAGAAGCTAAGGTAATGTTTGGGAACAAGCATTTCAATTCCAAAATCTAAATTCTTGACTTTCAAATGACAAGGGAGGTCTAAGAAGTTGTAATTGAGTTTTGTTTTGAATTAGAAGAATTTGTCTCAAATCTAAATCCAAATTTTATAAGATTCCCAAACATGGAATTTGAGCCAAATCCGGATTTGAAATCCAAATTCAAGTTCCCAAACATGCCATAAAGGAATACATGCAAAGTTCCTCACAAACCTAACTCAAAAACTCAACATCAGATTCTTGCTTAGATGAGACATCTAGCTTTTTCACTGCCACTGTTTTGCCATTATCTAGTTTTGCAAAATACACTCTGCCGTATGATCCTTCACCAATTAATGCCCTTGACCCAAAATTATCAGGTTTTTCCTTGATTTCATCCAGTGACAACTTGGGCACCTCAATAGTTGGCATTGCTTTTTGCACTTCGTTCTTGGCAGGGGCTGGCGCCTTTAATCCTTTTTGGTGAGCAGACAAAGTCACAGGAGGAAATATACACAAAACTGATCTATAATCCTCAAAAACACAAGTGAAACATAAAAATATCTACAAATAGTGACTAGTGTTACATATGCAAAAACCGGCAGCAATGACAAAACTAGCAGATACATACCATCTACATGATTCCATGGGTTCTTATGGGCTTCATTTTCATTTGAAGGGTATGGCTCCTCTACTACACAGTTGCAGCACAGCCACTTTCGCATGTTTCCTCGTCTGAATAGCTAAAGATTCCCCTCAGTACTTGTGGTTCGAAATCGGAACAAATTGAATGCAAGGGCATCCAAGTGCCTTTACTGAAAGTAAGAAACACTGGAACAGCTTAATCCGCATTCTCATTTTATAAACCAAACAAACCCATTACATACCACTCAAGAGCAGGAAAAACGTAACATTCCTTCCGGCCGTATTTGGTTGGAGGAGAGGGAAGGGGCACCCTTCATTTTTTTCCCCAATCTCTTCCAACCAAACACACATTGAGTTTAATAAAATTCCATCCAACCAAACACGCCCCAAAAATCTCAAATCATATTCACATGATCCTTAAATTCCCCTCAAAGCTACCCATCAAGACTTATACATCTGAGCATAAAAATGCATCAAAGAATTCTCTACTTCGAGTACCAAAGTAAATGGTAACTTTTAACATGATCCAACTACTCCGAATTAACAAGATTTATAGAAATTTAATCATTGAATGTGATGACATAACATGGAAATATAATCCAGTTTTGAAAAAGAAATAAAGATCATTTAACAAAAATCAAGGAAAAAAAGAACATTTGACTAAAATCAAGAATCTGAAACGGACCTCAAGGATCGAAGAGTGCAGAGATTCGAGAGGATTCCTCGAGCCCTAGTTGATCACTCACTGTACGCGTTTTTTTTTCAAATAATTTTTGTTTGCAAAAATTACGTCTTTTAATTCAAAAACTTGACGAATTTGGAAATTAAATTTCAACTTTTTTTAATTCAAAATTTTGAAAATTATTCTCTCTCAAATTAAGTTTGTATTTTCATATTTCATATGTGTTTCAAAATCAAATTTACGCCAATTTTTTTAACTATAAAATAATACTAGATGACATCTTTTATTTGTTCAATGCTCTTTTAAACTTTACAAAGTCAAATTACAAATTTAATTTGGAACATAAAGAAAATAAAAAATGATCTTTAAAATAAAAATAATATGCAAAGTACCTTCCTCTTTTGAAGTGCTTTTCTAAAAGTTTAAACTTGTAATTTTACCAAAAATGTCACTCACCAAAAATGTCATAGAATTTCGATTTACTCTTATAACCCCACAATTTTATCATTTGCCTAATAATCAATTTTTTATTTGTATATGGAATACATATCTATGCATGTTGTTTTGAAAGTTTACAAAATTCAAAAAAAGAAATAATATGAGTTATGGAGTAATATGTGTACGTGTGTGTATTCACCCCAAAAATAATTTTACTTTATTTGTGTGAAAAATTAAATTCTCGCTTTGAAATTAAAAAAAAAATCACCGATTAAATAAAAAGACAAAAAAGGTTTAAAAATTTACAAAAAAGTTTAAAACGTTTTAAAAATGTTCATTATATTAATAAATAAAAAAAATTTTATTTGATTGTTGATCAACGTTAATTTGATTTAGATATATATAAAAAAATCCAAGAAAAGGGTGCCCACTACCCATACCCCTCTGGTAGTAGGCCTGTGTACAAAACTAAATGCCCACTTAATTTCAACTTTCCCAAACACAAAATGCATGGGTGGACCTCCATGTTCCCAATATCTCTCTTGTTTTTATTCTTCTAAGTATATAATGCTTAAAAAAGCATAGAACAAAAAGAAGACATTATTGCTATTTTATATTTTGACAAATGCTTACGTGTTCTCAAGATTCATAGAAAAATTGAGTATTTAAAAAAAAATACTTGCCAACATATGAAAAGTATAAGAAAATACACATTTTAGAGGTAAAGCATGGAAGAACAACCCTTATATTTCATACTTGTCCCAAATAAAAATAAGTGAATAAGTGGATGTTGTTCGGGGCATAATTCAAAGGATTAATATCTAATAGGATTGCAAATGGAGATTGAAACCGAGTTTCACTCATAGCAAAAGCATTGCGATATGCTAAGGCCGACTAAGAGGGTGTTTGGAATTGCATTTGAAATAACTTATAGCTTCTACTTTACTAAAACACAATTTTAAATGTTTGCTAATCTGCTTTAGCTTATAAATTATGGCTTTTGAAGTTAAAATTAAAGTCTAGATCAGAAGTGCTTTGTAGCAAAGCTACAAATACATGCTTTCTGCTTCTAAATTATGACTTCTACTTTTACATAACTTACCACACTCCCAAACACTCTCTAAAGGGGGCCAAGCAGCCCTACCGGTTTGGGCTATTTTTTCGAGGGTTAAGATTCGTAATTTTATATATATTTTCTCTATCCTAAAATTATTTTTTGCTCACTATTCACATATTCAAACTTTATTTATTTGATTGGCTTATTTTTATTGCTCATTTGATGAAATAATATAGTCATACCATTTCTTGTTTTGTAAAATTTTTAATATAATTTTTAAATATATAAATATTAATATTAAATTTTACACTACTAATCAAATAAATTGATTTGAAAATAAAGTTGGTCAGACCTCGTAAATTGAAATGGAATATTAATTTTAGGACAGAGGGTTTATCATATAATATACTCTCTCCATTCCAAAAAGAATCCCACGGTTTGACTTTTTTGGTCAAACTATGCAATACTTTTACCAAAAAATTAAATATAATTTTAAATAATTAAATGTTATAAAAATTTGACATATTAAAGCTATATTTGGAAATGAATTTAATTTTACTAAAATTACATGATAACTAAATATATATTTTTAAAAATGTATGGTCAAAGTTTAACTTAAGGTCTGGTTTCCGGACCTAGACTTAAGGCGATTCAAGTTTCCTGTTTTTCTGGTTCAGGTCCAGTTCTGAACCGGTGTACACCAATACATATGATACTAAAAAATATTATGAAATGCCAATATACAATGTGAGAATGTCTCAATGCAAACTCTTTTTTCAGAAATAAAAACAAAGAATTAATTCTATTTTGGAGATAAGAATTATATTTTACTTCTATTTAGTTTTCAATGTATGACTGGAGGTTTTTTTAATTATAACTAAAAATTGGTTTAGAATTTTAAATAATTAATCCAGTATATATACAATACGTACACAAGAAGTTTTACGAATCAAATAGTGGTATGACTTTTCTTTAAATGATCGATAAAAATGTATTAAGTAAATAAAATTTAATTTGACCTTGTAGTATTAAACATGCGCCATATTTTAGGATAAGTTAAGTATTATCTTGTAGCGTTAATTTCATAATTATAGAACTCAATATTACGGAAATATAAATCTAATATTTTGTTTTGTGAACATTATTATTTCTGAAATTAGATCTCATTTCATAATACTTTTTTCATTCCAGACTAGACTCATGTTAATGGAAAGTTCTAGACCAATTATTAGTCATATTTATTTGGGAAAAAAACTTTGGTCAAACATCGTAAAGCAACACACAAATTTGACGGATGGAACTGTTTATAAATATTTTATTTACATAATGTTCTTCAAAATAGCTTTAAACAGCCTGAAACATTTTCTTTCAAATCTATTAAATTCTATTTATAGTTTTATTTATAATATATATTCTCATCCTATAAAGTTTAAAATTAGTTTTCCAATAATGAGTTTTTATTTTGTAAATGGGATGAGTTGAAAAAAATACCCAATTAGAAAGGGCCATTTTAAACTTCTATTTTCTTCAAAATTCTTTCATTTTCTTCTAAAAATCACTTTAAAAAATTATTTAGGTGTACTTTTATGTTATTGTTACTATAATTGCAACTTTTACTAATATTATTATTGTTGTTGTTGTTATTGTTGTTACGGAGTATTTTTTTCATAATCATCGTTTTTCTAATCATTGTATATAAAATAATAAAACAACAATGCAATGTCATAATTTATATTTTATATAGAAAACATTTCCTACTTCTGCAAAATAAATTTTAGTTCGTATTATAAAGTTAGCATACAATATTTAAAAAGTTAAACCTTAAAAACTTATTTAGTGGTTACACCTCAATTTATTTACGCAATTCTAATTATTGTTATCCAATGTTTTACACGTTTTTATGTACTTTTTTCATAATGGAGTAGTATAAAAAATGATAAAAAATTAAACTATGAGTATAACATGAAGAAACTAATAGGATAAGAGATATATGTTTTTATCTCAAAATAAAAATAACATGCCAATGTTAGAACCAAATAGAAGTTTCTATTTTGATGATTAAAAATATAAACTCCTATTTTAAAGATAAATGTAATGTTTAACTCCAATTTAGAGTTATTTCTTATAAAAATAGCTCTTTTATGCATAATCTTGTTAGACACCTCGCACACCTCTAGAGGGGGGGTGAATAGAGGTGTTGCCCAAAAGATCAGTTTTTTGCGCGGAAATGTTCTTCACGAATATTCAATAAAAACAATGCACCACAAACAAAATAAAGTGAAGGATAAGAACAATGCACACACGATATATACTGGTTCGGCCTAAATGCCTACATCCAGTCCCCGAAACAATCGTGCCCAGGCCTTCATTAACCCGTCAAACTTAACGGAGTTTGACAATCCGAATACAACTCGAGAACTTGATTTCACAAGCCTCTTATCTTACCACCGAAGTTTTGATTTCACAAAACTCATGATTTCTTCCACCTAACGTTTGATTTCACAAACCGTTAGGATTTCTACCACTTGGTGTAATCCCAACACCAAGAATACAAATCCCTTACAATAAAGTAAGAAAACAAACCGCAACCGAGTAATTCTCCCAACACGGAGTAGATTGTTGCAAATACAATGAAGTCCTTTAGAATATGGCAATATCTCTCAAAGACTCAAGCAANCAAGACTTAGTCGACTAGTTTTGGTGAAACTGCAATCTGACTTATTCAACTAGTTCTGGATTTATTCAACTAAGTCAGAATAGAAGTTCAGGGATTTATTCGAATAGTTTTCAATTTATTCGAATAGTTTGTTGAAAAGAATGTGCTTTAAAGATAGGATGATAAGGGAATGAACCTTAGAGATGCCATACTCTTTAACACATAATCTAAGACCTAAAACACTACCCAACTAAGGAAACAACCTCTTCGGTCTCGTTCCTTCCACCGATGCTCAAGTCCCTTCTTCACGGACGGATATGAACTTGTTGTAGCTTTGATTCTTAGCCTTGATGCACAATATGATGATGATGTTTTGTCACCCTTTTGTCATTATCAAAACCTAAAATACAATGGACAAAGGACATTGCAAAAATATATATTCATAATAGCACATTGTCCAATAAATCTTTGGAACATAAGTTAGTCTCGTGTAAATTAATGGGAACCTGTAATGTCACACCAATCAAAATAACACACTTTGTGACCCAAGTGGTTTTGTGACACCCACGGGCCACTGTACTCTTTTTGTAAAATATACTCCGTATTTTTCCCACGGGCCCCCTACCTCTTTAAACCTCCCACCCATCAATATTACCCAACGCCTCCTAAATCTTCTATTTGGGGGTCCCAAATCGGCGATCTGGAGGGGTATAAGGGGGGGTTGGGGTGAAATTGATAGATTCATAGATCATGAGGATTTAGGAGATAGAAACTACTCCGTATTAATTTTACGAACAGATCATTCTAAGTGGTCCAAAATCACGGATGTCACGCTTCTTTGAGTGGTGTAATATTACATATTCTCTAAATCAATAAATTAAAAAATTTGT